TATGTGTGTCATCATTAAAGAATAGAACAATGCTCAAAGTGTCAACAGTTATTTATATCAATAGCAAAAGGAATTAATTATGACGTTGAAGTTTTTCGTATGAACTAAAGTAGGTTTCTTTATTTTCGAAGCAAACTTATCAAGATAAAAAGTATACATTAAAAATGTGTAAATATACAATGTTGTTCATAACTGTAGATATTGTTTATTATTAAAATAAAATACAAAACTAAATTAAATATATTGATACAATTCCTAGAATAATAATTTTATAGACACATTAGCTTCTATTTCATTTTAGCAATATGAAGGATTATAAACCCGACAATTTCTATCTGATATATATGTACCATCATATATTTATATTTCATTATACTGTATAGTAATTCATAAAATGAATCATTTTCGTTTACGGCACGTAATTTCATTGTTTCACACATTTTATATCCGTTGCGATTCTTTTTACTACCTTCTCACGATGAAAATGCAAAAAAATCAAGATATGTAAACATGATGTTTTATTTATAGCTAAGTTAAGAAGAAAAAAGAAGCTGAAATAGTTGTTTATTTGCTTGGAATAAAATGATTTCTAAAGTAGATAGTTGTTTTAATACACTCAAGAAAAATGATTAACAAATAATTGAAATAATCAACACAACTTGTTGAATAGAAATAGATAGAGAAAAAAAAAAGATTCATTTCTTTCATTCATTCTTTCTTAAAGTTTATTCTCAATGGTCATTATTTATTTGCTTTTGTTTTCAATATCGGCTTTTAATTGTTCAACATTGGCACCAACAATTCGATGTACTTCTTTTCCATCTTTAAAAAAGACAAATGTTGGCATTGCTTCAATATTATATTCTTGAGAAACAGCTTCAGCTTGATCAACATCACATTTAAGAAAAACTACTTTATCTTTAAAGTCACCAGTACTCCAATCTTCAATTTTTGGTGCTATACGAACACATGGTCCACACCATCTAATTTTTAAAAACAAAAATATATTATATTTAATAAAAAAATTTTAATAATTACTTACGTTGCAAAGAAATCCAATACAATTAATTTACCTTTATTTTTTTCACTGTTTAATTCAGTTTGAAGTTCGTCGAGTGAGGCAATAGCATGTACCATATTTAATAGAATTTATATTAATATTAAATTCAAAAGTAAATATCTAAAGACAAAATATATTTCATATAGTCTAAGAAGTAGTATTAAATAAGAAAGAAAAGAGAAAAAAAAAATGCAATCAACATTGGTACCCTACATTAAGAATTTTTCTTGTAATTTCTATTGCAAATGTAAAGGATTGAAGAGCAACTCTAGTCATTTGCTTTTTCTTTTCTTTCCTTTTTTTTTTCTTTTCTCCTATCATAAGCACATAGCTATTATCAAAGGAAAAGAAATTTCATTGATAATAAAAAAAAAACAACAGAAAATGTTTGTAGCGCAATCTAAAACTTTGATCAGTTAGAAACAAAACAAAGCAATGTGTAATAAGAGTCGAAAGAAATGCATGAATAATATAATATTTATATCTTTATCAGTATGACGTATACAGTTCTGTAACCAACACAGATTAACAGTAGTATTTACCAATGAATAATGATTATTTATAGTGCTAGTCTGCCACCATTTCCTGACTCAACGTTGTTTTAACCTTTGAAACATATATGATAAGTTTATTCTGGAAAGAAATTTCTTTATCTATTCGATTTATTTTATACTTGAATATGAATAATTTTTTTTTTTTTATTAAAATCTATTTAATAAAAAAATGTTATTTAAATTTTTGTTTGTTTTATTCGAAGTAATAAAAATTAACAGTAATTTATAATAAGTAAATAACAATCGATAACTGGCGCCATCTTACGAGAAAGACTTCGAAGCTAGAAGTAGAAATGAACAATCTAGCTTATGTTATGAATAGATTATACAGTCGAGTCCGCTTATAAAAGCGCAGTCGGGATTTCTAAAAGAGGCTCTTATATCCGGACCGCTCCTTTATCCAAACTATATGTAAAACAGTGCAAAAATTGTTTCTTGTCAACATTTATAGTAGTACATAGACATACATAAATTTACTTAAAGAAATCCGTGATTTTACTTTGAGTACGATTAATTAAAGCGTTCTTTTCGATCATGTCTTCGATATCATAATATGAATTATACTCTGTAAAATTCTCTTCCAAATACTTGCGAACCATCGAAAGATGCATCAGTGCATCTTTATGAGAGACACCTGGTATCAATTCATAAGAAATTCCGGCTTCTTCTTCGTCTTCTTCTTCTAAATCGGCCATTCCTTGTCGATTTAGTTTGGATGGATGAATATCTGATCCCTTTATTGAAGAAACAGCAAGTATATATACATAGGAGAGAGACAATAGACGGACTAGAGAAAAAGTGGAGAAGCTTCGTCCGTCTGTTTAGAAAATGAATAATAGACAGAAAAAGACAATGGTTCTTCTTACTCAACAAAGACGTCAGTTAGGACAAGTGAGTAAGACGAAAAAGAGCATATGTGCAACAGATGAATAGAAAACGAAAAGAACAAGAACATACAATATGGCTCTTTTATGCGGACTCAAATCGCAAAAAAGCGCCAAAACAAAGCTCTTATAAGCGAACCGCTCCTTTATCCGAAGCTCTCATAAGCGGACTTTGCCAGCACGTAAAACACAGGAGAAAAAAACGGGGAATTGGAAAACGGCTCTTAAAAGCGGATCGCTCCTTTATCCGGAGCTCTTATAAGTGGACTCGACTGTATCACTAACTGTAGCCAAGCAGAACCGACCGTTGAATTTTTGCTTCCAAATTCCTATCATTTTTTTAGAGTTTTCTGGGCCGAAACGTTGAGATTGTCAATGGAGGAAAGAATGAAAAAAGTAAACGTTTAAATTCATAGATTTTTTGAAAAATTTAGTTTCTACTTGGGCTTAACAAACAATAGTAATCGAATAAGAGAGAGCATTAGTATGAAATACTGAAAGCTTTCACTTACAGATATTTAGAGACGAAACATTTACGGATTACCTTAGATGTTATCATAAAGAAGAGCATTCACATGTTATATTCATTCCATAATTGTACCATAGAAGAAAATTACATCAAATCTATGACTGGATGATTTGTTATGATCAATATAGCATAGTTAAAAATGAACTACTTTTCTTAATGACAGTCATATTAGGTTCGAGTCCATTTATAAGCAATCAGATCTTGTTCGTACGTTATTTGGCTCATATGTGACTTCCGATACTTTTTTCTTTCATTACCAAGTCACTAATTACTTACTTTTCGAAGTCATTTCACATATTCATTTGATGAATTTTGTTGAGTTTCATTCGATACAATAGTGCCATTTTTTAAAATGACTATCCACTAAGATCCATAGTAATTTATATTAATTTCATTACTAGGTTAACTAGGACAGATGCCATTTTTCAAATACTTGTCGTTCGTAGTTTCGTCATTAGAAAGTGTCACCAGACTGAAAAATCGACACTGAACCAGTCGGTTTTTGAGCATTGATGCTAGTTTATTTTTTGCTTGTTTCTCTTGATTTCTATGTTTTATTGATCTCAGAACATGAGTTTTTTTTCTTCTACCAACAAGAAGTAATCTTATAAAAAGTAAGAAATCTCTTAATTGTGTGTTAAATATTGATTTCAAATGAGAAAACATCTAACTTATTAATACATGTCAAGAAATCATATCTTTATTGAAGAAAGTCAATCAAATTAAGGCACAGATATTATTTTGCATGATTTATTGTGAGTTATCAAATGACAAGTTCTAAAACGATTGTTATTGTATTTGTAATATCAATGTTTATCAACCGTTAGAGATTAAAATAGAAATTAATTCTATGTAAAACTCGAAGATTTATATGAATTTCACAATCTAGACCTCTCTAGATCAATAGTAGTATGATTTTCTCACACAGATCTATTTATTGATTAACTCTTTAAAGATGATTGACGAATGTATTTGTCAAGGCAAACTTTATGTAAAAAATGAATACTACAATTCCTTTACTCTGGTTTCTTTATGAGCTCTGTATCAACTGTAACACTCTGGACTGGTCGGAATTCATTCAACTGATTGTGATGTTTCATACTGGTTATGTTTCTCTCCATCAATTCATATTCATTGTAGACCCACTCCTTAAATACTATTATTGAATTGATTGTTGCTACTCTACTAATCGCACACCAAATGAATCCAGATATACGAAAACTTTAATTTTTAGAAACACTGTAAGATTAAGTTTTTTCGCTTTGTCATCACTCGTTTTTTTTTTATATGAAATAATAATAATATATAATTATTGCAGAAAATTTATTTTATCCTTAAATGTCTGTGAATTTCTAAAAGTCATGTCACAAAAACTTTACCGTTTAGTTTCATAAGAAAAATTTATTAGTTAACAAATTAATGAAATATATTAGTTTTATTTTTAAGAGTAGACTTATAAATTGTTCCAAACAAGAACAAATCATCAAAATTGTTTCTTGTATCAATCGACTGATTATTTTTAGTTTTTGATTTGATTCAAAAGTATTCTTCATAGTCAAATTTTGAAGGTTGCGATTTTTCATCAATTAAAATATTTAACAATCTTGTCACGGGTGTTTTTTTACGCATCATAAGTTTTCAATATAACAACATTCGAAAACGGGTACATATATCATGATTGTTTTTCATATTGTTTTTATACGAAATATATTTTTCTTTATTTTTGCATGCATGTTTTAATCACTCGTTGTTTTAATACTCCCGTATGTGATTCATAGCCTTCGTGTTTTTATCTTGTCGACCAAGTTTATGCAACTATGGATGAGCAATATAGGTAGAAAAGGAAAATTCTTTCCCACTCACTCTATTGTATCTAGTAACATGAAAAACAACCGGTTATGTTACAAACAACAAATATATATATATATTTATGCAAAAAAAAAATCAGAAACTAATCATAGTAAAAATAAATTATGGTCACAGTTTCAGAATCAAGTGAAGGTATATAGAAATAAATATAGTTAATATTTAGTATGAAATTTTGTCATAGAAGATTTACATGAAAATGTCAATTTTCATCATAGTGGTTGGCGTATTACACTTATTCTATTAGCATTTATAAGTTTTATAATCACTTGTATTTTTAATAGTTTCGCTGCTAGTGATTCTAATGGTATGAATTATTTCTTTAAAAAGTTTAAATAAATATTAAAAAATAATTGTATAGATATATTTACACAACGTACAGGAAATATTAGTGATAATAATCTAACGGAATTTACACCTGCTAGTAAGTTAATAATTAAATTAAAATAAATAAAATGAATTCTTTAATTTACAAGATTGGACATTCAGTATATGGAGTATAATTTATTTATGGCAAGCAGCATGGTTAATCTATGCTATTACTCGAATATCAAGAAAAGCAAATACAAATTATTTATATATTGTTCCAAATACACTTCATTTTAGTGTTTTTATATTCTATATAATTAATATGATTTTGAATATTGGTTGGCTATTTATATGGGATCAAGAACATTTTGGTGTAAGTATTATCATCAAATATTAAGTGATTCATTGGTTTATTTTAGTGGTCACTACTCGTTATTTTCATCATGTTTATAACGATTCTTGTACCTATGATTATGACTCATGTTCTTCTACAACGAAATCGACCAATTTATATTAACTCAGAACGGTAAGACTTCGTTTTAGATTGTTTGTTTCAATGTCGTTTTTGTGTATTAATAGAAAACTAGATATTTGGCTTGTACGAATATTAGTTCATAATGGTTTAGCTGTTTACAGTACATGGCTTTATCTTGCAACATTACTTAATTTAACTATTTGGATTACACAAATATATAATAAAAATCCTCAATCAAACACTAATGCATCAACTGCAGCACTTACTCTTGTACTTGTTGGAATTATATTTTATTTTATTTGTGAAAATTTTCTATTTTATTCTTCGATGGCATATACATTTTTACCTTGGTTTGTTTTAATATTTTCATTGTCAGGTGTTCTATCAAAAAATTATACAAGAAATGATATTCCTGATAGAAATAAATTCTATGTACTTGCTTTACTTATTATTTGTTGTATTTTATTTATTAGTCGTCTTGGATTATTTCTTGTACGATATTTCAGAAGTCAAATTCCAACAATAAAAGAACCTTGAAGAATTGAATTGTATTGGTTTTTTTTGTAGTTTTGTAAAAAACTACTATTAAATAAAAATAACAGCTTTTTTTGTGGATGTTATTATGCATCTATACTAATCGAGTAAAGATTTATGAAACCAATTTGATCGGCAACATGTAGATCTTAATTTGTATTCTGATTTTCAGATATGTTTGTCTTCAATGAACTGAAAAATAAGAAAAAAATCCATAAAATCTGCAATAATTAAAACGTTTGATTTTTACAACACGATTCGATATCGTGAGATAAGAATGAATCAAGTTATGACTTGTTTAAATCATTTCTTTCTTCATTGTAACTCAAAGTTAAATCAAATCATAGGAGTATACTTCATCATGATTTTATTCGAAGATAGTTTTTGGCTTATAGCAACCACTGTTAACTATATCATTTTTTTTTGCAATTTTCTTATTATACTCGTAATAGTCAATTATAGGAAAAAAATCTGTATTTTTATTCAGAAAAGTAAACTTAGACTTTATGAATTTTGACTGTTTATTTTTATTGAATTGTTTTCTTTCTTGTGAATACAAACATTCAGGCCGATATTCATAGGGTAGCTGTGAAAACTGCAGATGCCTACAAACAGTCCATGGACACACATGATCACTTTCGTTTTCAGTTATAAACGATGTTTTTTAAATAAATACTAAGGTAAACAAAAAACGCAACCTAGAAATAGTGTCAGTTTGATATTTATTTCGTAATCGATCCTTTTTTTTTTGCAACTTTGGTCATTTTCATAGGTGTTCGTAGCTTTTACAGGTACTCATAAGTAGATGACTTTATTCGTTCTATTTACGTCTTCGAATATTAAAAAACAATGATGGGCTATTATCCATTTTCAAAAGGAATGTCGATTGTGGTATTTTGAATAGCTGTTGAAGTACTACTGCAGAATATTTACACCTATATTATCGTATACATAAAGAACAGGAAAAAAATCTATTGGTGCAACACTTAATCAGTATATTGCGACAATGAGAGTGTTTCTATTCTGCAAGATTCTAATTATTATCTAATGTGACATATTATGAAGCACACCAAGGGAACGGTAGGATGATAGTCAATGTGTGAAGTATTTAGTCATAAATACTTGGTGATCCTCGTGATCCAAGTAAATAATTCCAGCGTCTGAATTCATGAGTTTCCAATAAGTTCTAATCGGGTATATGCTGTTTCCATCCAGAATACTTGAGAAAATGGTGGAAATCCGGCGATCATATCTAGTGAGCGAACCTCTGTTTCTTAGTTATTACCATCATTCTGAGTTTTTTGGCTGGAAATGATCTGTATTTCATGACCTGGGAACATTGGTATCGTTGATGGCGAAGAAAACCAAAAATCAAACGTTTAAATTCATAGATTTTTCAAAGATTTAGTTTCTGTTCGGGCTTGACAAACAATAGTAATCGAATGAGAGAGAGTATCAGTACAAAATACTGAAAGTTTTTACTTATAGATACTCATTGACGGAATACTCTGGAAGTTATTATAAAGAAGAGCGTTTACGTGCTGTATTCATTCCGTATTTATACTATATGAGACAACTATCAAATCTTTTACTAGACAATTAGTTGTAATAAATACTGAATAGTTCTGAATGAGTTTCGTTTCATAACGAGAGTTATGCCATGTTCGAGTTAACTTATAAGCAATCCCATCTTCTTTGTATGATCTTTTGTTCATATGTATCTTGTGATCCATGGTGATTAATATTAATTCGATTATTGAGTTAACGAAAAAGATAACATCTTTCAAATACTTGTCCTTCTTTGTTTCTTTATTCGATGCTGTTACAAGAGCGAAAAACTGATACCGAGCGAGTTCGTTTTTACTAGTTTTCTTGGACAGCAAAGCTAATTCATTTTTTTTTCCTCACTTCTCTTAATTTTCATGTATTATAGATACAGAACATCAGTTTTTCTCTTCTACTGACAGTCATAACTTTATTTCAAATAAGAAAACATACAACCTATTAGTTCTTGTAAAGAAATCACGTCTTTATTGAAGAAAGTCAGTCAAAAAAAAAGCTTAGATATTGTTCTGCATGATTTATTGTGACTTACCAAATGACAAATTTTGAAATGATTGTTATTTTATTTTTAATATTAGTGTTTATGAAACGCTCCAAGTTTAGATAGAAATTAATACTATTAGAAACTCGAAGACTTATATGAGTTTCATCACTTATTCCTTCATGAAACTAGACTGACATGCATTTCTCAAAAGGACCTATTCATTGATTAGTTGATTCATTTGTGTAATTGAAACGCTCTGGTTTTTGTCAAATAAAGTATTGTACATGATAGAGGCTCTACATTGGTTATCTTATTCCTCATAGAGAAAGTCTTTGAAGTTCTAGTCTTAGTCAGATAATTCATAACTCCAATCAGAATCTACGATATGAGAATCAATGTATTAAACTGGATAATGTATTGTATATGGTCATATAATTGCTGATGAAATGGATAAAATGACCGTATGATCAATGCTAACATACTTTATAAAAAGTTAGTTTCTGACATGTATTGTATATTTGACGATATGAGTCTATCTTTTTTTCCTGTCTTTTCTTTAAATCATATTTCTTTTATTGATATTTAATAGTTAATTGCTATCCATATACGAAGTATTAAAATGAAAGTTGAGTTCTATTCGTTTAAAATAAATATGATACAATGTGGTAGAATAAATCTTCAAAAATCATATGATTTCGAACTTCAAAGCCACAAACGAGATCGTTACTTACATGCATTAGTTTTATTTTAAAAACAGATCTATGAATTGTTTCATAAATGAATCATCCAAAGAATATTATGACTAGAGTTTGAATTTAATTCTATTTCCTCCTCAGGCACTTTTTTTTTCACCAGCCATATGTACTGGTTTCTAATTGGTATCTTTGAGTGATAGTTTGCTACTTCAAAATTAAACTTTGTATCCAGCTGATTTCTTCAGTCGAATAGACGAAGTTGCATATTGAACACCCGTTTTCTATCAACTACCAATCATCAAAATCGTTCCTTGTATCAACCGACTGATTATTTTTAGTTTCTCGTTTGATTCGAAACTATTCTTCATATTCAAATGTAAAGATTTATATGCTGATTATCTCTTCTGATTGAATTATGATATATAGTTGTTTCGGTTCTATTACAACTTGTATCCATCTAATGAATTAATATCAGAGAAGTTCATTGAGACTTGATATCTACTCCTTTGGTTATCTTGGCGACCGCATGGACATTTTTATTGAAGACAAAAAACCTACTTTTACATTCTTTTATCATATTTTGATTTAATATGATTTGAAGTACTTTCTAGAAGATTTGCTAATGACTTGTAATCAATATAGAGAAGACTTGAAAACTGAGATTTTCCATGAATTAATAGTTTTAACGTTCTTTCTACGGATATTTTTACATTAAATAAGTTTCTAACATAAAATTCACTTTTCCGTATTTTTGCACCTGTTTATTTACTCGTTGTTTTTTTGTTTCTGCATGTGTCTTGTAACCTTCGTATTGTTATTGTTTTGTTGATCAAATTTATGTAACTCCCAAGGACGAATATAGATAGAAAAGCAAAATCCTCACGTATTTTGTTTATACTTAATAACATGAAAACAATCGTCTATATAACAAGCAACAAACCGTATATATTTATAGAAAAAACAAGGACTACCTATAATACATATAAATCATGATCAGGTTTTCAGAATCAACTTTAGGTATGTAGAAATAAATATATGTGGTATTTAATAGAAAATTGTTTTTCATAGGAGATTTAGTCATAGAAGAAGTATATCCACATTTTTGTTTTCAACACAGTTTCTGGCGTATTTTACTTATTCTATTGGCATTTATTAGTTTTATAATTGCCTGCATTTTTAATCGTTTGGCTGCTAGTGATTCTAATAGTACGAATTTGTCATTAAAAACGTTCAATGATTAATAATAAATAATATTTTTTTTAGGTATATTTACACATCGTACAGAAAGTATTAGTGATAATAATCTTACTGAATTTATACCTGCTAGTAAGTTAATAATTATGTTGAAATAAATAAAGTTGATTTTTAAATTTTCAAGGTTGGACATTCAGTATATGGGGTATTATTTATTGTTGGCAAGCAGCATGGTTAATCTATGCTATTACTCGAATACCAAGAAAATCATATATAAATTATTTATATATTGTTCCAAATACACTTCATTCTAGTGTTTTTATATTTTATATAATTAATATGATTTTGAATATTGGTTGGCTATTTATATGGGATCGAGGATATCTTGGTGTAAGTATGATTATAAAATATAAAGTGATGTATGTATTTATTTTAGTGGTCCTCACTCGTCATGTTCTTCATGTTTATAACGATTCTTGTACCTATGATTATAACTCATGTTCTTCTACAACCAAATCGATTAATTTATTTTAATTCAAAAAGGTAAGACGGTGTTTTACACGGTTTTCTTTTTTTTTCATTCTGTTTTTTTTTGTGTGTATTGATAGAAAACTAGATATTTGGCTTGTACGAATATTAGTTCATAATGGTTTAGCTATTTATAGTACATGGCTTTATCTTGCAACATTACTTAATTTAACTATTTGGATTGTACATGTACATAATAAAAATTTTCAATTAATAACTGCTACATCAACTGCAGCACTTGTTCTTGTACTTGTTGGAATCATATTTTATTTTATTTGTGAAAATTTCATATTTTATTTTTCAATGGCATATACATTTTCACCATGGTTTGTTATGATATTTACTCTATTTGGTGTTCTATCAAAAAATTATACAAGAAATGATATTCCTGATAGAAATAAATTCTATGCATTTATGTTATTTATTATTTGTTGTATTTTATTTATTATTCGTCTTGGATTATTTCTTGTACGATATTACAGAAGTCGAATTCCAACAATACAAGAACCTTAAAAAATTGAATTGTATTGATTTTTTTCTAGTTTTGTAGAAAAATACTATTAAATAAAAATAACAGCTTTTTTTTTGTAGATGTTGTTATGCATCTATACTAATCGAATAAAGATTTATGAAACCAATTTGATCGGCAACATGTAGATTTTAATTTGTATTCTAATTTTAAGATATGTATGTCTTTAGTCAACTCAAAAATAAGAGAAAAAAATTCATGAAATCAAAAAGAATTAATCGAGTTATGATTTTTTTCACTCTGCAACGCAGAAACAAATCAAATGATGATAGGACAAGTTTTCGTGATTTGATTCGAAAATTATTTCTGATCTATATTAATCAGTGCTAATTAAATCATTTTGTCAATACCTTACTATATTTTTTTAGTTGTTCACCATTACAAAAAGACAGTATTTTGATTCAAGATGTAACCTTAGACTTCATCAATATCGTAAGGTTATTTATACTGAATTATTTTTGCATATTTGTGAATATAAACATTCAAACTAATATTTAAAAGACACCTGTGAAAATCACAGACACACCCGAACATTTAGCGGACGTAGCGAATACACAGGGTTATTTTAGGTTTTACTTGAAAGCGATACTTTTTAAATAACTATTAAGGTAACTAGTGTAATTATTTACGATTGAAACTAAGGTAACCATGCGCGTTCGTATGCAAAAAACACAACCTAGAATTGATGTCAGTATAATATTGGCTTCGAAATGGCTCTTTTTTTTCCAGCTTTGGTAGTTTCCGTGGATATTCACCGCTTTTACAAATACTCATAGATAGATGATCTCGTTTATTTCAGGTACTTCTATGAAATATAAATAAGAATGTTAGACTATTATCGATTTTCAAAAAGTATGTCGTTGATTTTTTTTCCTTTTCCATACCTTTTGATGAGAACACGAGGAAAGCTGCGGTTTTCATCACTCAAGCGAGACTATCCGAGGCCCCCGAAGTAAGTTTATACCTAATTGGTCAGAAATCGACTTATCAGGTGAACTCTTAACGAAAATTTTGAAAACGAAATTTCGATATCATTTTTCACCAGATTATGAATTTGAGTTACAAGAGTTTTCCTGAGAACTATCTCATTTCAGCAAATTTATTGTGGAAGGATCTAAAAGAGTTTTGGATAAAGCTATTTCATCATGTTGAGTCGAATGGTGATGCTTGTTTTTAGTTTCAAAATGACATGAAGCCATTTTTTGAATATTTTCAAAAATACGAACATAGTCGTCTTAGATCGCTTTGAAACTGAAAATAAACATTATCATTCGACTCAACATGATGAATTATAGCAATTTAGCGTTCTTTTTGAAATCGAAGTTTCAAGAATACTCTTGTAGTTCTTGAACGGAAGCGGCTAAAAGTTTGAGACTTGCATAAATCGAAAGAAACGATATTGCTCTACCGGTTGGACATATTTATACGTCAAAATCTTTGTCCAGAGCTTACTCGGTAAGTCAATTACTGAAACCATGAGATTTCAACTTAGTTTGATGGTCGGAGTGGCTTCTCTCGTAAACGATGAAAACTCGAGCTATTTTCATTAGTCTTATCAAAGTTTATTGAAAAAACAACCGCTAACGTTCTTTTTTGAAACGAATAATAATGAATAGACAACTTGACATCAATGATAAAAATATATATTTCATTTGTAACCTTATTATCGCTTCATTAAAGCCAGACGAAAAAAATGCATTATGTTATAAGACAAAAATAAATCAAAAGCTAATAAATATGTATGATTTAATTTTTTCAATTCTTGTCTTCTCAAATCGTATTTGTTTTATTTTTTGGTGTTTGAATGAGAAGAAAAACTTCTTTGTAAAGTTTAGAAAGAGAGAAAAAAAAACACGAATATATCGCGATTAACAAGAAAAGAAAGAAATTAAGAATAGTGAAAGAACGAATAAACACAAGTACAAATTAAATGTTTTCGATATCAAGACACAATACATACACACAAATATATTTGTGGAAAGTTTTTTGTTTTTGTTTTTGTACAATTAAAAATAACACCAAATACACATAAATCGAGAGAAAAACGAGATCAATAGTCTATTGATATCTATCTTGTTGACTAATATGAATCATTCAAAATTACGACAACAAGATAAAATATGTTTACTATTGACACGTAACATGTTCGATAATAAAAGTTATCTTTTTTTTTTTTTTGTTTTTCATTCAATTTTTATTGGAACAATAAAGAGAAAAAGAAGAAGAAAAAAGAAAAAAGGAAAGCAGACGCTCACAAAATAATTTGGAAAAAAAATTCTATATACATACAGACAAATGATTGCAACATATGATAAGATAGGTATTTCGATTGTGCAGTCAATTAGTATAAAATAAAAGATACTGTTCTGCACATACAAGCTAACAAATAAAGAAAAAAGAAAACTAAGAGCAAGAAAAAAAGAAAAAAAAAAAGAGATTTGAAATTTTTTAAATAGAACTTCCATTGTTTGTAATTTATCCTTGCTGACATCAATAATTATATCTCTACTCTAGATAAAAGAATAAACAGTTGAACTTACATTATATACGTATACATATAAAGACAATCAAAATAGAGTGCACATACGATGGCAAGAAGAGAGAAAAAAAAAGAGAGAAGAAAAAATTCGAAAATTTATTTATTTATTTCTTTTTTTTTGTAATTAATTATTACGCAAACGACTATTTGTAGTTGTTAAAGAATGATGTAAATTTGTGACAGATGGCATCGATGGTGATATTTTCTATAATAAATAAAATTTTTAAAAATAAAAAAAAAAAAACTATGGCAAATTTTTTCTACATACAAGTGGTCGATGTTCAATTTCAATTTCTTCGACAATATTATTTGGTACATGACCAACATCACCATGAAAATTTCTTGCACGCCACCATTTCTTTGAACTATCTTCAATTTCAATTAATTCACCACGACGTACAGTTAATTCTCTATTATTATGTCCCTTTCGATCCATTCTTACAGCACAAATTCTTTAGAAAAAAAAAAAAATGAAGAGAAACATAACTCAATTTTTATTGATTGTCTTGGTAATTGTTTTCTTTTTTACTCACTTTGCTCCAGCTCGTTTTCGATCAATAGCCCAAGCATGTTCATTCTGCATCTGAGAATTATAATTTTCTAACATAGTACTTTTAACTGAACGATCAACAGTTGATGTATCAAAATGTCCAACAATTGGTGAAGGTTCTTGAACTATTTTAGTAGTATAAGTTGTTGATATACCATTATTATTGTTATTCTGATTTGATGGCTAAATAGATTTATAAAAGAAGAAGAAAATCCTTTGTACATATGTATATTATGAAAGAATTTGTTTAACATACGTGAGTAGTATTTGAAATAAATTGTTGTCGTTCATCGAATCTAGTAAAAGGATGAGTAACTCTTGTATGATCAGTACTATGTGTTGGTTGTAATGGTGTTGGTTGTGGATACTCTATTGGTGCATTTTGAACCCATACAGCGCGACCTTCGAGAAATACTGGTCGATAATCAGAAAATTTTGGTATTGACTCATCACTATTACAAAGAAAAACAAAATATATAGAAAATAAATTTTTTTTATTAAAATATTTACTTTGCTCGAACCCATGCTGGACCAAGATTACGTAAAATATCATGTTCTTTGGATGTTAAACAATTTAATAATAATTCTTTTGCTTCTTTGGTTAAACCTGGTACCCATATATCTTGTGCAATTTTTAATTGATTTGGATGTTTTGTACGTAATGTATATAAAATAAATTGTAATGGTGATAATAAATAATGTACTAATTCAGGTGCATTTGGATTATGTATAATATGTTTGAGTTCACCTAATAAATTAAATGAATGTTTAAATTTTTGTAATATATCAATAAAATAAAGATCATCTGGAACTTTTTCAACCATTTGTTTTAAACCAGCTACAAAACAAAAACAAAGATTATTGATAATTGAGAAATATATATATATGTTGGTATAACATACTAGTTGATTTTTTCTCTTTTCGTCTATGATCACGTTCTAATTCTTTGGTATATTCCATTAATGCTTCAAGATAACGTACAAATAATTCAATATCATCAAAACATTTATTTAATTCTTCTGTTAAACGTTTATAATAATCTGTTGCAGCTATTGTTGTTTGTTGAGTTGTAGTTCGTGCTTGTTGAATTGTAGTTCGTGCTGGTTGAATTGTAGTTTGTGCTTGTTGAATTGTAGTTCGTGCTGGTTGAATTGTAGTTTGTGCTGGTTGAATTGTAGTTTGTGCTGGTTGAATTGTAGTTCGTGTTTGTTGAGTATTTACTATATTTGATGAATCTATTAAGAAACAAATAATAATAGATAATTAAAAATAAAATTTTTCTTTTAAATTAATTTACTATTAAATTGTAATGGTTCCATTCTTATTGGTGGATTTACAATAGTTGTACTAGGATAATAAATATCAGTATTGCGACGTTCAATGACATTACGTGCATCTATGTAAGTACTAAAATAGAATGAAAAAGATTTTATTATTAATTATTATGTGTTATTATTAGTGATGTACACGATTATGTAGTTTTTAGATTCTAGTTCTAGTTTAGTGAAAACTATTTCAAAATTTATTTGTATCATATCTAAAAGAATCTTTCAATTAATCGTTTTATGATTTATTTAGTCGATGACTAACATTCTGTTGTTTTTTTTTTGAGTCACCCTTCTTGAATTATATTTTCTGATTGATATAATTTATAAATAACCATAGAATATCTTACTATAATCTTTAGTTAAGATTTTGACAAACTTTTAAATTTTGATTCCATATATCTTTCGTCATGATAGAAAAAAAAACATAAGCCAGAGGACATTTATAGATCGAGGCATTTTTTTTTTGCTTTATGCAGTTAAAAATTAGAAAGAAACGACAATCAAAACATGCTTGAATGTCTATTATGTATGATCGACTCACTTATGATATCTTTATAGTTTATATTTATTTTGACTTATGAAAAAGCTGTTACCACAATCCTTGTGAGATTAAAAAGTAAAACACAAATGTAGACGCTGTTCCTAATCATAGAGAGATTATTTTATTCTATCGCTTTTTGAGACATATTTTTTCGTCATGATTTTACTTAATTGTCCAGAAAATGTAATAAAAAAAAGTAGTTCATACAATATAACGAGACTTTATTTACAATCTATGATGTTAGGAGCAGAGTCCAAAGTGTTACTTCTATACTTCAACATTTCTTGTAAATCATCATTAGAGGCCAAAAAGAAAAAAACATTATTTCAGTTACATAGATGTATGTCAATCAAAAATTACTGCAAAAAAACATGATCAATTCGATGATTCGTAATACAAAAACTTATTGTCAATAAGCTATTTCAAAAACCTTCCAATTTTCTAAGCACATGTATTTATTTCTTATAGAATGATTTTATTTTGTTTTTCTTTGTATAGATTTCAATACTTATTATGTACAAAACAAAAAAATATCAATATTTATATTTTACCTTTTCAGATTTTTTAATGGTTTACCAGTAGAAGTTCGAATACTATCAACAAGTATTTTTGCTTCATTATTTGAACATTTAAACACAATAACAGATGATGATTCATTATTATTTGTACTACTAGCATTACTCATTGTTGTTACTAATTGTCGATCAATTAAACGATACATAAATATATCATTAAGTGTATCAGGTACATCAGCATGTACACATGTTGGATCGACATTTTCAAGTGGAATAGTTTCAGCAATAACCTAAAATATCAAAGAATAGAAAAATTTTATTTATAGAAAAAGAAAACAAAAAAAATGAAAATAAATATTTTACTTGTGATGCTCGATCGAATATAACAAGTGAACGATCAGTAACAAATAATGAACATGGTTTATTAATAAAACTTTGTGTTTGTTCCTTTTGACGTAATTTACTAACAATTTCAGCCGAATAAAAAGCATCTAGATAAATAAAATAATATAGATTATTTCATTCAAGAGAAGAACAAAAAAAAAACACGATAAAATATAAGAAATTTTACATCAAAATTTCTAATTAACTTACTTCGTTTATCTTCAATTCGTACAATAGCTAATAAATAAGCATCGAAACGAAGTGCTCGTGATAAATCAGGGTTGTATGCGGTTGAAATTGAACGTGGTGTATAAGCATCAGATAATAAATTGTTTGATAAAAATGATGAATTAACTTGGTCTAAATGACAAAGAAAAAGAAAAGAAAATGCTTGGTTTAATTAATTAATTATGTAAAATATGAAGACTTTCTCTAATACATTTATTATATTACATTTAAGTGCTCAAAACTTATTAGAGTGGAACAATAGCATACCATTGTAGCGTTCATTAAGGTGATAACGTGTCGTAGACTGATTGGCAAATTGACCACCATAAAACGTTGGTGGATTTCCAAAGTAAGTCATTTGAGATTAAATTTTTCACCTCACTCACTGTATAGTTATATATATATATGTCTTATCGTTAGATCACGTTGATGTCGAATAAATAAGTAATGGCAATTCAATACTGTTTTGTTTTTATTTAAATTAAGTAGAAAAAAAAAGGTGTCGATGGTCGACGTGTGCCGTTTTGAAAATCTCGACTCTTGTCTTTTCTTTTTTTCGCTCTTTTCAATTTTTTTTTTTTCTTCGTCTTTATGTATGTTCGACGGATAAAGAAAATGAAAAATAATAATTGTACTGTTTATAACTAGTAGAGCTCTTTCTCTCTCTCTCTATGGTAGACAGGCGACGGCGATCGATTTGTAGAAGCAGAAGAAAAACGAAAAAAAAAAAAAAAGAAAAAGTAAAGAAAAAAAAACTTGATAGAAGTTTGTCCAAATAAAGAACGAATAGTAGTATAAGAAATGCATTCATAATGTGGGGTCAAATAATAAACGGTAGACGAAAGAAAAAGTTGAGAGAGCAAGGAAGAATAGATATCTTACTGCCATGCTACTTGTCACGCCCTACTCTTCACACATAAGTGACAAAAATCTATGAAAAATTACTTGATAAAACCTATGTATGTGGAAGCTTTATGTCACTAAACCAACAAACAAAAGCAAAAAATAGCAAGCAATAACAGTAATTACTACTCTATTAACCAATATCATAAAATAAAAAAAGCTGCTGGAAAATCGATTTATTGAAACAAAAAAAAAACACCATAGGCGAAATACATTCAACTTACCAAGAAATTAACTATAAGGTTTAATGATAAAGTTCATATAAAAAAAAAAAAAACCATACAAACTCAATAAAGTCTTACCTGATGATTTCCAACGTTCTGCATTACCATTCATTGGATTTGTAGGCTTTGAAGCTCTAGATTAAGAAAAACAAAAGATAATCAAATAGATCATAATAATAATAATAATAATAATCATAATTATTATTCTTATTTACTCATTGAATTCATGGCTATTTCCTCGACGAAGATGGCTAAACATGATGATCTAGAAACCAATAAAACGTATGAGCTTTTGTATGTTTTTTTTTTCCTTTAATGTATATATGTTTGAAGTAAGTAGGTATTACGTGAACATCATTTCTTCTTCGTCAACGAGAATAATTCAAAGACTACTATATCAAATGAACATAAAGTAAAAGTATGTCATGTCGCCTACATTAGGACAGAGAAAAAAAAGAAGTTAATCTTTGTTTAAACAAGACACCAATGTAACTTCGAATCAACAAATTAACTTCATACACGAAAATACGTGACCTTTTGTTCTCGTACACGATAAATCCTCTACTAACCTTGATTTTCAAAACAATTTATTGAGTTATTTTTACGTTTAGTAAAAAAAATGTATCATCAAGTATATATATAAATATCTAGGCGGATATAACTAATAGAAAATCCTTGACACAATGATCAATTGAGCGAAAATGCATGTCTTTCGTGGAGAAAATCCGAATGATGGATGTACAAAACAAAAGAAAAAAAGGATGGATGAATGAATAAAATACTCAATACGCTTGTAAAAACAGCCATTTTTCCTCATGCCCGGATGTAAAGTGCGCAATAAAAAAAAAAACCTCTATTATTTGTATTTCGAAAAAAAACAATACTTTTTGGCGACACTTAAAAAAAATATAAAATCAATCGAACGACGTTATTATAATTATGAACGATGTGCCAATGATTATAGAGAATATTCAAATATTTAAATATTTTTATTTGCTATGAGAAGCAAAGAATTGGACCACTACTATATGATCAAATATCTTCATATTACTTTAATATATGCTAACTCAAAAAAAGATATTCGATATCGATTGCGATTAATCAACAACGACGAAAAATTTCTTTTCAAATCGAAAAAAAAAACTTTTGTTAAAATTGACAATGATCTATTCTTTAATTTAGGCATCTATTTTTTTTTATAACACACATAACAATACTGATATCATCGAAATAGATCGAAAGAAAAAAATCTACTTTACTTCTTTTCGCTATGTACAAAACTGCCAACACCGTCATATGCAGAAAAGTGTTTTGATTTCTCAAGTATCTCTCTCATTGACAAAGACTACCAACATACACTTTTTTTGTCACTCTTGCTCGAAGTCTATTGACATAAGAATACAGAAGCGAATGCACATGTATATTTAAGTAAAAAAGAAAATAAGTCTCTCAGTTCACTATTTTAAAAAATTATACATAGACGCACTCCTATACAGTTGATTAGCTGTAAACGGAAAAAATACAAGCAAAAACATGGAAAAATCATCATCAATAGTCTGTAGTATGGTTGAAGATCGGAAAGCAGAAAAGAAAGATATTGATCAGTAAAGATCATATGTACATATATATATATATAATGATATGTAATAATAAAAGCGAAAGTAGAAACAAACGATTCGACTAAAATAAAAGAGTTCTATATCCATATTTTTTCATTTGGACAAATAATTAATTTACAAAATCAATTAAAATAAACATTTCAAATAGTTTATTCTTTTCATTTTTGGATTATTAGAAGTTTTTTTTTTTTTTGAAAATTTAAATAAATATGTTTTTTAAAAAATTTTCATTGGTTCATCTTATTCACCAATTAAATTTTATAAAATAATCAATAGTGACACAAAACCATCATCATTACAAAAAAAATGGATTTCTAGAACTCATTGTTTAGTTAATTTTTGTTTGTTATAAACATATACATATTTTTATTTTAGATATTTTTATTTTATTTTATTTTATTGGCAATCATGTCAGACGAATATTGGATTATATCTGTACCAGGCAAATCAGCACCACGACAAGCCTATGATGAACTTTGTCAAGCCACTGGACGTGATCAATTATCACAAAATTACGTATTTAACATTCCTGATTTAAAGGTTCAAAAAAAAAACAAAACTTTTTTTAAGTTAATTTTTTTTTTACAAATTTAGGTTGGTACACTCGATTCACTTGTGGCACTTTCGGATGACCTTGCTCGACTTGATGGATACATTGAAGGGTAAAAATAAAATACAGAATTTGATTATAAGTCGAAACAAAAAACGAAGTTTTTTTTTTTAGAGTTACAAAAAAATTAACTCAATTCTTTTTTCATGATGTACTTGAAGATGATCGTAATCGTCTTGCTGAAAATCTTGTTGTTGGTCAAAATGGTGGTATGTTTTTTGTTTTTTCTTATTTTAATTTAATTACAAAAAAAAAAACATATGATTAGTTGATCCAATTCGTTATGTAACCGAATTTCAATGGGATCATGCAAAATATCCAACAAAACAATCATTAAAAAATCTTTCGGAAATTATTTCAAAAGTAAGTTTTATTTCAAAAATTTTAATGTTTGTTTTTTTGTCAAGATTCTTCTTGAAAAATCATAATAAAAATATAAAATGTATATATAAATATTATCTAATAATAAATACTCTTAAATTAAATAGAACTAATGAAGATATCTCTTCAGATGCTTCTGGGCTTTCAATGATTTATTTTGCTGATCAATACGTCATAGTGTTTTAATAAAACATCCTAAAAAATTTCGATTTCACTAAACTATCGAATTTTAATCTGAAACTTTGCATATCTTAATAAGTCAAGAGTTTTTATTAGAATAGAAACTATTCACAATTATTTAATCTCAAAGAAAAAAAAAAAAAAACTTTTACCCTTAACATTAATAAAAGTCTAGATTTTGAATATGAATATTAATCAAACGAGCGTCGCACATCTCCTTTCAGATTGTTCATGTGACTTTGTTGGAAAGATTTTGAGCAAAGATAAAACAATGATCTTACTAGAGAACCTCTCCAAGTATCAAATCGTTTTCGACTAAGATGACACTTATTTAGTGAGTAATAGAGAAGTCTAGAATGGTTTGAATTTTTGGGGTTTTTCTTCTTAAGATATTGAACTTCTACTAGATTTTTTCATCAAACAGTTGTGGTCAGATGACAAATTAGCTTTCGAGTTTCGACTTCAAGTTTTAAACGAACCAAGTTTCCTATGGGGATCCGGACAGTTGCTCGACGGACGGTTGCTCGCGAATGACATGATCGCTTAATTTTCAGTATAATAATTCAAGACAAAATTGATTGAACTGATTAGTCTATATGTAGAGCACACTGACGGTCATTATCTCTGTAATGTTAGTCGTATTCAATCATCATACTTATATAAAAGCGATCGAGCAAGTGTCCTATCGAGCAACTGTCCTAAATCCTTCCTATGATATTAGTTCACTGTACAAATTCTAATTTTTCTAATATTTATTCAAAATTTTCTCATGTATAACAATAAAGTTGATTCAAAAATTAAATATTAGAATAGCTAAAAACTTGCACCATTGAGAATTTTTTTTTTTTTTTTTTGCAAAGTTTGAAGTTGAAAGTCAATATTCTATCTGACTACAATTTCAAAAAAGAATCAATCTAAGCATAGTTTTATCATATGATCATCGTTAGATTTCTAATATTGTCTTTTTTCGAGTTGCGCAATTCTAATCTGAAAATAACTTCTTCAATTCTTCTACAAATTTTTTTCTAATTCCATAGTATTTTATTTTCTCAAAAAAAAAAAAAAAAACATGAATATTTTTTCATCTTTAATAGGCTGCAACACATATTGAAAGTGAACTTAAACTTCGTAGTCAATCATATAATAATGTTAAACAAAATTTGGAATCATTAGAAAAAAAACAATCGTATGTTATTTGTTTTATTGATTAATAAAAATAAGTTCTTTTATTTTTTTTTGTCTAGTGGTAGTTTATTAACACGTAATTTAAATGATGTTTTAAAAAAAGAACATTTTATTTTGGGTAGTGAATATTTAAAAACATTATTAGTTTGTGTACCAAAAGCTTTAATGAATGATTGGTATGCAAAATATGAATCATTATGTAATATGATTGTACCACGTACAACTGAATTAATAACACAAGATCAAGATTATGCATTATTTACAGTAACATTATTTCAAAAAACAGAAGATACATTTAAACATAAATGTCGAGAAAATAAGTAAATGAAAATTTAAAAAAAAAAAAAAAAATTTTTTTTTTTATGTTTTTTATATTGAAGATTTACTGTACGAGAATTTACATTTGATGAAAAAGCATTGGCTAATGAACGTGAAAAACTTCGAGAACTTGAAACTGAACGACAAAAACTTTATGCAAATCTTGTTCGTTGGCTTAAAATTAATTTTGGTGAAATATTTTCAGCATCTATGCATATTAAAGCATTACGAGTTTTCGTTGAATCTGTTCTTAGGTATAAAGATTTAGATTTATTATGATAGTTACATAATGTATTTAGTAAATCAAAAAAAAAAATCTCAAGTTAAAATTATCAGATAGGTTTTAGAGATTTGAATATTCTTCTAGATTTAAGTCCGAATTCAAATATTTACATTCTTTTTAAATCTCGATCTATATTTTACATTAGCAAGAGAACTACGTTGGATTTTTTTTTGCTTCCGATTTTAGTGAATTTTTATCTATAGATACTAAATAATGTTCTAATCAAATTTCGAATTCGCTTGAAAGTTGTCTAAGCTCTGATTTTTTTTTGGAAAACTAGTTCTTTTGAATTTTGATGTGAAGCTCACACACATATTGATAATTCAATAGCTCATCCAAATCTTATTATGAATTCTAATCATTTTTTGAAGTTTTTATTAGAAGGGTGTATCATTGAAAAAAAATATAGCCAAAACTGTACCCTAAGACTGTAGACTTTGGAGTTGCAGATGATTAGACATTTTTTGTGTTGAAGAAAAACTTGAGTCCGGGTCTACATTTTTTGTAGACTTTTCGTTCTCTTAAGAGTATTCTGTTAATTCCTTAACCTTTTTTGTTTTGTTCAAAAGCAAGTTCTAGACATTTTTAAATCTTTAAAAATTCATGCTTGGTTTTCATATTAAGATTCCACTATCCTTAGCATTTTAGATTTCGGTTTATTCAAATAATTGTTAACGAAAAAT